TTAAGATCTGTTTTTATTTCTCGCTACTCTTGTCTGATTTGTTCTTAAATAAGTTTTACTAATTTCCCCAGGACGGTAGATGCGGATGATCTCCCTGTCCTTATCTCAAGCCATGGGCCCTTCGTTGTATTTTCTCCACAGTCGCTCCCAGACACACTGTTGGAGCTGATTTGGAGCACGGCAGCAGCAGCATAGAATTATAAAATGGTCTGAGTTGGAAGGGACCTTCAAGATCATCTCATGCCATCCCCCCTGCCACGGGCAGGGGCACCTCCCCCCAGACCAGGCTGCTCCCAACCTCCTGCCAGACCAGGCTGCTCCAAGCCTCCTCCAGCCTGGCCTTGAACACTTCCAGGCAAGAGGCACCAGCGTTAGGCAGCCAAGGCCCCGCTCTCACCTGGACACTGCTCATCCAGTTGCGCACCGCTGTGAAGGAGCACTCGGCCGTGATGTCGTACATCACCAGGATCCCGTCAGCCTTCCGGAAATACTGCTTGGTGATGCTCCGAAACCTGAGCCCGAAGGAAACCAAAGGCACTGTTAGAACCACGTCTGGGTCGTGATGAGAAACAGAATCACAGAAAGGGTTGGAAGGGACCTTCAGAGGTCAGCTCATTCCACTTCCTACTAGACCAGGTTGCTCAGAGCCCTGTCCAACCTGTCCTTGAATGTCTCCAGGGATGGGGCTTCTGCCACCTCTCTGGGCAACCTGTGCTGGTGTCTCACCACCCTCAGCGTAAAAAAATTCTTCCTTATATCTAGGGATGGTGCCACCTGTACAAGTTGACAGTGTCCATGACTCAACCTGCCAGAATTGACAGGAAACATCAAACCCACGATGGTGCTGCTCCACAACTCCCCAGTTAATGCACATGGTGGATACCGAGCACAGCTCTGGTCCCTTACTCTTAAAAGCAACCAGAGAAGTTTCAAGGCAGGGCAACAAGACAGAAGTAAGGAATCGCTTCCACAACAGCAAAAAAAAACCAAACCACGACCTTTCTCTAGAGCCTGGAAGAATCTGCAGACTAAGCTGGACCGCAGCACAAACGAGGCATGCGGAATGTCTGCCCCGGTGCTGCCAAAACAGCAATTAAGATCTCGGCATCAATACCGTCTGTCTCCAGTTTTGAATCCATAAAGCAAATGCCATCATACATAAAACCAATGGTCAGACGCAATTTCCAGGAAAACCCCCTGCCAGGCATCTGCGTTGTCCCGTCAGCACCAGTTCGTTGTATTTTGGGAATAAATTCCAACAATAAAAAAAAACAAACCCAACAAACCCCACAGCCTAAATCCAGACTTTACAATCTGTAAGCAGTTTGTCACAGGGCCATCTCTTCCATAGGATACTCACAGTTGGAAACCTCCAGTCAGAAGGAATTCGTATTTCTCCAGAAGGAAGAACAACTTTTGCTTCCTCCCAGGTCTCCAATTCAGCATCAGCGTTGAGCCAAGTCCTCTCATGCAAGGCCACGTCTAAGACCTGCTAATACCCCAGGGGCCTACCCTAAAGGTCCTTCTGCAGAGACAGCATCTGGAATTCGGCCTCTTAACACAACGTGGCCTCAGTAAAACGCCACGTTTCATGTCCTAACAATTCCCCTCGCTGCTCAGCCTCAGCGCTAAAATAACCACAGCAGTCCCCTCAGAAAAACCCACTAGTTCTTCATCACGAAGCTTGATTTTGGAAGAAATCGTTTGCTTTCCAGTAGACACTCCCACCAGGAGTACACCACCAGTACATTCCCACCAGGCCTGCAGTAGCGCATCCTCTTAGAAATTGCTTACCTTTCTTGTCCAGCTGTGTCCCACAGCTGTAAAGCAACCTGGGTGTTATCCACCATCAGAGTCTTCACCTGGTAATCAATACCTGTCAGGGAGGTACCACTGGTCACAAGGTAGGACGGGGATAGAGCAGCTAGCCAGGACCAACGCTAGGTAGCTCAGGGAAATTGCAAGATTTATTCAAAACTGGGAGAGGGACCATCTTTACCTTTAGTTGGGATGAAATATGAGCAAAAAGCACATGTCCCGCCTGACCCTCCCACACGTTTTAGTCAGGAACCCCATTACCTACCGATGGTTGCGTTGAGCTCAGCCAAGAACCTGTCGTAGCAGAAGCGGTGGATGAAGGAACTCTTCCCGACGCCAGAGTTCCCTACAAAGACCACTTTAAAGATGCGATCTGGGGAGCAGCTGGCTGGTTCCAGTGCCTGGAGCTACGATGGAAGAAAGGGACGCGGTTTCGACAGGCTGTGCTTTGGTTTAGGCACTGGACCCCTGCACCACAAACCTATGGAGCTGGAGTTAGATGGGAAGAGAGTCAGGAAACCCTCAAGCCCCTGGTGGCAGGTATTTGAGGAAGAACCCCGAGTTGTTAGACTCACCCTGGTTTCGGTGCCAACGGGCTGTCCTCTAGGAGGCAACCGAGCACCGGCTAATCCATCTGCATTTTGTCTACAGCCGGCGTCGCCCTTCAACGTCATCTTAAGGCACTCCGTCATCTTCAGGCACTCGGCCCCTGCTGCCGATGACCACCTCTCCTTGTCCCCGCTCGTCTCTCCAAGGTTCGTGCCACCGCCTTCTCCTGCCTTCAGCCACGTCTCGTTTGCCAGGAAGTATTTACAGGTCTTTCGGTTGGGTTCGTCTGCCGCCACATCCACCGGGAAGGCGAAGGCAAGGTCCGCCAAGGCCAGTTGTCTGCAGGAAAGCCCGCGGGCACCACAAACAGGGTGGGAGGGGAGGGGGTGAGGGGAAGAGGAGGAGGTCGCAAATTCCCAAGACAAACAACGTGAGCCAGTTAGTGCAGCGCTTGCGGGAACTCGACTTCATACATACACGCCCCTTACGCCCTGCAGCTGAGGGAGAGGGAGGCAGCTGTGCTCATACCTGCCGACAGATTTCACTAATTTTAAATAGAAAATTCCCACCTTCCGGATTTTTCAAGGATTCTTTGCCTCCCCCGGTACTGAGAAATGAGGCAAAGCACAGGAAATACATTTGGTTTTAGAGAAAAGGAGCGCCGATCACCCCCCCTCTATTTTTGTGAAGCGAATACAACGCACAAAGAAGTAACAAAGGTTTCGACGTGAGCAAAAAGGGGGTTGACCGCAGACGGCAGGGTGAAGGCCAGCTGATGGTCCCCAGGAGCAACCAAACACTTCCAAACGCTGCCGAGACTGAGTTTTTCCCACTTCAGGTGGCAGAACCCTGCCAGAGGCGTGCGAACGGCAGCGAACACGCTCACGCCAGCGCCGCTTTGCCTGATGTTGGCTCTGCTCTGGCTCACCCACACGCCTGGCCCGAGGTAAGAGAGCAAGGACATGGAAAATGTGAATTTTTAAAGATTCCAACTGGCCATGCTCACCAGCAAGAAACCCCCCCAAGACCCCCGCCCAAGCTGCAGTGGTGGGAATAGGTTTGGCACCAACTGTGCCAACACAAGAGCAGGCTGGCGCACTTCATTCCCTGGGGGAAGAGCTGACATGGTAAGTGGAGGAACAGTCTTCAGAAGAACAGCTAGAATAACCCGATTTCAACTCCTGGAACCGTTGCTGAGGAGCACAGCAGCGTCTCTTAGCTCAGCCTTGGCTTTCCACGGTTCAAGAACCAGACGAAGGGAGCGAGAAGGCTCAGAACTCAACAGAAGGACTTTATCCGCCACAGAAATCTCTGCTAGCCAACAGACTGCATTTGGAAGCAAATCAGAGAGAGCAGAGGCTGCCTCCAGTCAAGCTCTTCGGAGGCAGCACATCCCACCTCTTTGCAAAATTTTTTCCTTGCTACTAGGGCAGGAATCAAGGCAACAACTCTCCTCTCCCACTCCTGCGAGCAGCCCTCATCGGGGCTGCAACATTGCCCTCCTGCCGTGTCTATGCTTTATCTGTGACAGGGAGCTCCCATTCCTGGTTGTCCTCGCTGCATCTGCCCCAAATGCCAGCCCAGAGCCAGGCCAGCTGGAACCTCTCCCCGTGGAACAGTCACATCTTCAAGGCTCAGGGGAACGACCTCATCTCCCAGGGCTGGCAGGAGCCATGGCAATGGGAGACTGACACTCAAAAAGCCTCTTCAGAGGGGGGGAAAAAGGGAAAATCACAAAGCTTTCTTGAAGAGGGACTCCAGATCTAAGGGATTTTATTCCTGTTTCTCAAGCAATGTGCTGTGACACAGCACTGGGACAGAGACAGGACCAACAAATAACTTCTCCCCTTCTCACACTGCCCTCGCTGCTGGACTTCTCCACCTCTTAAGCCTTTCTGGGAGGTTTATGCCAGCAGTGGTTCACAGGATCTTTGTGAGAAGCAGCTTGAGGAAGAGGATGGGAGACCTCAGTTGTCTGATCCCACGGACAGTGTATCTGTGAGTCACATCGCCACACAAGAGCTCTGCCTCGGACCTCTCCGAGCAGCCTGGGCTCAAGAATCAGCCCTGTTCCACCTGGTTTTCCAACCGTCCACGAGCCTGAAGCTCAATTCTCAAATGTTGGAATTACAGGCCTTAAGGGCGAGTTGAAACTGGGACACTGAGCCCAAGATCTATGTCTCTGGTTGGCACTAGGAGAAACTCGGGAGCAGGGGAACCTTCTGCAGAGACCTGGGAGGAACCAGGGAAGCATCCCACCCTTAGAACCTGTTTGGGGCCAGCAGTTGCCAGGGAGATCTGGCTCCAAGCCAGGTTGGTGCTGGCCTGCCCTGTGTCTCCACACCCCAGGATGTGGGCACAAGGTGCCAGTGGCCGGAATTTCTGCCTGAGAAGGAACTGCCACGCTTGGGAGGTGATCCAGTCCCGTGAACAGAGCTGCCTGAGGCAGCCTTCGTGACCCCACAAACACCCCCACAGCTTCTGACAGCATTTAGGGTTGTTTCCCCATTGCTGCACGTCAAAGCGGGCCACCCCACCGTGGGAATTAGCCAGTGGCACCCTCGGCTTCACACCAGGCCAGCACAGCCTGACGCCGAGAGCCACGCTCAAGCTGCATTTCCCCGCACTGTGCTCCCCAAACCAGCCAGCACTGAGGCGGGAGAACTGGACGACAGGGACACAGCTCGACTGACAGGAGGGGACTCGACGGGGGACGGACTGACACCACGAACACAACACAGACGCCCGTCTAACCGTTTGACCGGCTTGTCGTCCAGCAGGTGACTGCCTAGCACTGACCCTTTCTTCAGCAGGGGCTTTTTGCTCTGAGGCGCCTGGAGGGTGAAAAGAGAAGGGGTGAAGAACGCGGTTAGGACTCGGGAACCGGCCCCAGGTTCAGCCACTTGCCACCTCTCCGATCGCTTCGGGCAGAGCTGCTGTTTCTGTGGCTCATGCGCCCCTCGGTCTCGCACCTTGACCTTTTTTTCCCCACCTGCCTTTTTGTTACGCTGACATTTTATGGGCCAGTCCAACGGCCCTTTGCTCAGAAGGCACCACTACTCCTCCTCGCCGGTACTCACCCAGAGCTGCGCGCGGCCACAGAGAAGGAAGAACACTCCACAAGGGCTCTGCACGGGCTCTGCCTTACACGGACTCCCCTCTCCGTGCTCTCCTCTGACTTACCTCAGACTACGCGCTCCCTACAGCCAGCGTTTACCCAGAGAAGGATGAAACAGGACAACTCCTCTCCCAACCCTCTTGCCCCAGGCACAGTGGCCAAGATGAGCAGCTTGCCTGAGATTGCGCAGGAAAGCCTGCATGAAACTCTATGTGAGAGGGTGGCAAGGTGCCCACTGCTGGGGGAAAGGGAGATGCACTCACCCTCTACGTCTGGAGATTCCTGACACGTCCTCACAAGTTATTTTTTGGAGGTAGAGGTGGGGAAGGAAGAGTTTGAAACCTGCCAGATCTGCCTCTGGCAGCAGTTCTGAACTGACCGAACACCTGGAGGCAGCTCTGGACAGGCTTTCCTTCGCGCTGCCGATGGCCCAGGGAAGGACTACAAAGGTTATTTCTTCAGTAACCTCTGTCTTATTTTAAAAAATGCAAAAAACTAAGAAGCTGCTCCATCAGCCAGAACTCCCAGGACACCTTTACAGCAACGCAGCCCAACAGAAGGACTCCACCAAGAGTCTCACCCAACTAGGAACTTTGAGGGGGGAGAAGGAAAAAACAAAAAACCAACTATGAACATTTTTTTACATATAAATCTGGCATTCAAGAGAAGTTCAGCCATGGAAGCAACCCAGCACTGGGAGGCTCACAACTGTGGAGCACATTATCTTCCAAGGCAAAGGACCCACAGTGACCCCTCGGTCAGCACTGGCATCGAGCTGCAGTTTGGCCAAGCAGTGGTTCTCCAACAGGGATGGAGGAGGAAGCTTTGCTCCAGAAAAACAGAACCAAGGAAATCATGTTCTGCAGCTGAGTCCCAACCTTCGAGTCACCTGCGGCACGGAGGGACCCCCAGACAACCTGCTACGGTATCACCCTACTTGGAGAGGAACCAGCCTGAGGTGCACACACCTGGGGAAGAAAGGAGAAACAACGGGGCGCGTTTTGCTGTTGGTTCTGCTGTGCTTTATTGGCCTGCCAGGTCGGTGTGACATCTGGCTTTCCACCGGGATGGTAATGGGACAGGCGCGATGTCGCAGGTGGCAAGGATTCCACAACAGCAGCACGTGTACAAGTATTTGGGATGGGAAAGATTCCGGTTTGTCAGTGGGATAAGGAAAAATTCTGGTTTATCAGCCAAATACACGTAAGTGTCCAACACAGTCAAGGTCCCAAAGTGCTCTTCACGATGAGCACACATGAAATTTGCTCTGTCACTACGCAGCATGCGAGCGTAACTCCACAGCCAGACACGTCATGGGTGTGAAGCTGAACCCACAACCCCTGGGCCTTAAAGACAGCAAAGTCACATGTTGCTGTACATCACCCTCCCACTGGGGCAAAACAGTGCCCGATAGTGCCGTGGGGCCAGGGTCTGGCCACCCCGGCACGGATGAAAACTCTTACGAAGAGGAAGGTACTGAGCTGGGTGCTGAGAAGCGTGAAGACGCAGTGGCTGGGTTGCTCCCAGCCCCATACGGCCCAACTCCTCCTTCCAAACACTTTGAAATCGTTCCTATGAAAGAACCACGGCTCATCACACCTTCATTTCACAGAAATAACACAACCCTCTCCAGCCCTAACAGAGGGTATTAAAGCCTTGTGGGGTTTTTTAAGCCTGTAAAAACATTGGTAGGCTCTGGCAGAGAGCGTCTCACACCCTAGGGATCCCCATCAGAAGGCAGCCCCATGTTTCAGGGCAGCTCTGAGCAGGTCCTAACAGGGGAAAAGGAGAGAAAAGAGGGGAAGCAGATGAGCTTTGCACACACAGAAGAACCTACCTGAACCACGGGCTCCACGGGCCACCCGCCCCACCCACAGGAACCCCGCAGGGATGAAGCACTACACATGGAAAGAGGAGAACAAACCATTTTCTTTGCTGCTTGCACGGGACTCTGTTACAGAGCGACTGTGTTTATTGCTTCTCCAAGAGGGAGCAGGAAGCTCTGGTGCACATACACGTACTTAGCAGCTTTAAAATTAGAGAAGAAACAAACAAAAAAACCCAACACGGCTTCTTTCAGATTTCAGAAACACACACAAAGGCACACACACACACCCCCCTCACCTCCACCCAAAACAGTCGCTGAAGTTATTTTACACAGCTGCTGCTCCACTTGGACAACTCCAGCCTCTCCCCTCCAGCGTCCCATCTCGGCTAC